TTGGCATAAATTTAAGACTATCTTCTGTGCAGTTATGCTGGGAGAAAACCTCGTAGGAATGTTGGAAAGCTAGCCGACTGGGAAAAATGACTGGCACAAATAAACACCAAACAAAAACCCTCCCATATATCTTAGATTGGTCAACGACTCTGAATTCAAAGAAATAAAGAATTAGCAACATCTAGTTTAAATTCAAGAATTTTCCTATGGGGTTCCTGGGTGGCTCAGCCGGTTAAGCGTCTGCCTTCAGCTCAGGTCATGATCCCAGGGTCCAGGGATTGAGCCCTGCACATCAGGTTCTCTGCTTAGTGGGGAGCCTACTTCTCCCTCTCCCTCTGCTGCTCTGCCTACTTGTGCTCTCTCTCTGTCAAATAAACAAATAAAATCTTAAAAAAAAAAAAAGAATTTTCCTATAATGGGGACATAAATTACTAAGAGCAGAGAACCACACCAAGTGTTTCCTATTCTTGGTCATAAATAAACTGCTTTGGCTTACAGAAATAAAAGTTTAAAAAGATGAAAATTTAAAAATCTGTTTCAAGTAGAATATGTAATCAGGCTTATTCCTGAGATTGTTCAGAGGCTGATCTCATAGAGTGATGAAAAGTAAACAGTCACAGAGCAACACTGATTCAATGCATTACTCCAAATAAGGCAATTTTTATGTGAGAGCAAAGCTCTAAGAGAAAGGAGGGAATGAGACAAACACACAGATAATGACTGTAATTTCAAAAGGGGAGTTGGAGGCGGGGAGAGAATTTTTTTTTTTAAAACAGGAAAATAAGACATGAAATATTAAGAGAATTAGACTTTTGCCTAATAATAAAAACCATTAAATCTCATAGTAACCATGGATTAAGAATACGAAGACATGAGGTTTATTTCAGGGCACTTGTTAACTCAATCATCAAAAGGAAGATACCCTTTGGGGTGGAGACAGTTTGTTTGTACAAAGCAGACTTCAGAAGAAAGTTTCTTTGGTATCCAGCTGTGATGCCTCTGCCCTCACCCAAACAGTAGCAAAAGGAATTAAAAGTGCAGACAGCAGTCCAGAGAAGGGAGTCTTCCACTCTATGCCCATGAGGTGGATCTCTATATCCTGAGATTCTCCACCTTTTATCCTTTATCTTTGCACTCAGCATATAAGTCAATCAAGTGACAGAGTTCACGGAATATATATGAAACAGATTTAGAGGTGCACAATTTGTTAACTCAAAAAGCATCTTTAGCAGAACACAACAGTCTCCACTATTTGTTAAGTTTACATGGTAAACCTTGAATAACTAAAATTTGCAGGGAACATGGAATGTGGAATTCTGCTTAAATCAAACTTCATAATCAAATCCCTGAAGAGAAAATATTGCTAGAGCTTTTTAGCAAGTTTTATGAAAGTTAATTGTTAATTCTAGATTTTATATGGTATATTTTTACAAAGAAAATTTACTTCACAGCTCTGGAATTATGTAAAAGGTTATATTTTAATCTGTTCAAAATCCAATCTCTCTGCCTGGATTAAAAGATTTTCTCCTAGGGGCACCTGGGTGGCTCAGCTGGTTAAGCGACTGCCTTCGGCTCAGGTCATGATCCCGGAGTCCTGGGATTGAGTCCCACGTCGGGCTCCCGGCTCAGCGGGGAGCCTGCTTCTCCCTCTGACCTTCTCATGCTGTTTCTCTCTCTCTCTCTCAAATAAATAAATAAAATCTTAAAAAAAAAAAAAAGATTTTCTCCTAAAAGAGAATTTTTAAAAAAAGTCTCTTTTACCATAAAAGGAAAACAAATTGAAATGTGTTCCAACTCATTTAATTTGGTCAAAATCACCTTATAAATGGAGACAGCCAAAAACTAAACCGTTCTCTTATGGATTCATATACATAAAATGAAAAAATCTGTTACTATATTAAAAATAGACATTATGAATCCTATGAAGTGAATTATTTGCTTTCTTTTTCTTTTCCAGAGAGAGACGGGGGGGGGGGGGGGGGGGGGGGGGGGGGGGGGGGGGGGGGAGGAAGAGGGGAGGGGCAGAGGGAGAGGAACAGAGAGA